GTGTCATTGTTTACAAACAAGCGTCTACCTATGAGCCTTGCGTTTTTAGCACGTGTTATCACTTCGAACTCAATTCCCGCACGTGCGCAAGGGACGATATTAGGCGTCATAGGAGTGCGTACTGTCAATAAATCAGGCCATGTAAGTGATCAGTTTAATATCTTACGAAATCAAGGAAAAGTGGGTGCAAGTCTCAACATCAAATGAGCCTACCTAATTGCTTCAGTTTGGGTTCATGTTTAGAAATACTTCATATTTACCTCAAATAAATTCTCCGAGTTTATGCATTTCAGTGATGCTTAGCTGTTGCTACTGGTTACTATGCCAGTCTACCTCGAAATAAACCACTATCGTGTTTTTGCATACAACTGATCTGTTTGGTTCTGTTCCCGTGCCGACATAGTCTTACCGAAACCTACCGCAGGGAGTCGAGTTCTATATACACTGTACATACTCTCCAACGATAAAGTTAACGGACGTTCGTTACAAAAACTAAACACTAATTTGCCTTTTACGCTTTTTTTTCTGTACATTGTAAAAGGCTCCCAGATATTTTTTTAGCATCTTTTCAAATTACACTGTATGTTAATTCATTTCGCCATTTGCCTTGTGACATCTTTCCAGTGATAAACATTGTATCCAATTCTAATCAGAAATCTTTTCTCGCGGCAAATTGAGGAATTTATAATTTTGATTGCCATTTACTGAGTGAACCTTTTATGAATGTATATTATTAATGATTCTGACAACTGCAGCTTAGTGAACCATATTTGTCACTATATACTACGCTATTCAGACATGAATCAAGTGACCAATCAAGACACGTGACAAGAAATAAGATATCATAAACATATTTTATATAGCACCGCTAGTTCTTACAGTTTGTAGTGTTATTGCAAATACATTGCATAGGGCTATTGATATAATGTCAATAGTAAAAGTAAAAATATTACAGTAAAAAAAACATTTACCAGATTTAGCGGTCTCACAGTTTGGTCCAATGTATCCAGTATCTGTGCAATTGCATGAATAGGAATAAGGGGCCTCTTTACACGCGCCTCCATTTTTGCACGGTTTATCATTTTTACACTCCTCATATGCAACGAAAAACATTAAAATTATGTTTTCAATAAATTTGTGATAACATTAAAAATGTTTGGGGGAGGGGGTACCAAACTTTAGTTTGGACACCATTATCCCAAACGCTAATAAAATTCTATCGAAATTGTCGTTTGTGTGAAAAACTCACTTGCGTACGAACACCCCATTACACGAGGAGTTATCGTAGGATAGTGCCTCTGAATTGTTCTTTTTAAATAAACTTTCGTGCAATGTTGATTCCAGCCAAGGCAATGGAAATATTTCCCTTTATTCTGTGGTTTCGCAAAGTATATACTATTTTCAAAGACCCGAAGCAAGTGTCTGTACAACAAGTCAAATCGATAAGCAATGTGCCATGCAACGACGTGAATTGGCCATCTTGATGAAACGACGTGAATTGGCCATCTTGATGAAACGACGTGAATTGGCCATCTTGATGAAACGACGTGAATTGGCCATCTTGATGAAACGACGTGAATTGGCCATCTTGATGAAACGACGTGAATTGGCCATGAAACGACGTGAATTGGGCAATGAAACGACGTGAATGGGCAATGAAACGACGTGAATTGGGCAATGAAACGACGTGAATGGGCCATGAAACTACGTGAATGGGCTATTTGATGAAACGACGTGAATTGG